ATTCATTTTTATGATGTGTTGGTGGTCAGTGAGTATCCAGATGTATTCCCTGATGAACTTAAAGGACTAGCTCTAGACTGTGAAATAAACTTTTTCATTGATCTACAACCAGACACCCAACCAATCTCCATTGCTTTTTACAGACTAGTGAGAGCTAAAATGAAAGAATTAAAGAAGCAATTAATAGAACTCCGAGAGAAAGGATTCATTCGCCCTAGTGTTTCTCCTTAGGATGCTCCTGTAACATTTGCCAATAAGAAAGATGGAACCAAACGAATGTGTATTGATTATAGACAACTAAACTCGATCACCATTAAAAATAAATACCCTTTGTCCAGAATTGATGACCTATTTGGCCAATTGCAAGGGGGCAAATCTTTTTCAAGATCGATTTACGATCCGGTTACCATCAAGTGAAGATTAAACTCGAAGATATTTCAAAAATCGCCTTTAGAACAAAGTATGACCATTACGAATTCTTGGTCTTACCTTTTGGATTAACGAATGCCCCAGCGGTATTTATGGACATGATGAATCGGATGTTTGAGTCTTGGCAAGATCAATTTGTTATTGTGTTCATTGACGATATATTGATTTACTGCAAGAGTCGAGAAGAACATGTTGAACACTTAAGTCAAGTTCTAAAAATTCTTAGAAAAGAAAAGTTGTATGCAAAATGGAGTAAGCATGTATTCTGACTCAAACAGATCACTTTTTTAGGTTATATAGTTTCTAAAGGCGGAGTATCTGTTGATCCAGTAAAAGTTGAACCTATCATGGGATTAGAACATCCCACCATGGTAAATGGTGTCCAAAATTTTTGGGTATGGCTGGGTACTATTGTCGATTTATAAAAGGATTATCTAAGATTACAACCCCTCTTACTCGACTTACTAAGAAGGATGTTAAGTTTGAATGGATCCCAGACTGTGAAAATAGCTGTAAAGAACTCAAAAATTGACTCGTGACAGCTCAAATACTAACACTACCTAATGGATCAGGGGGTTATGCAGTATATACTGATGCGTCAGGCCAGGGTTTAGGGTGTGTGTTAATGCAAAATAACAAAGTCATCGCCTACGGATCGAGACAATTAAAGAATCATGAACGAAATTACCCAAACCATGACTTAAAATTAGCTGCAATTGTTCATGCCCTTAAGATCTGGCGTTATTATCTGTATAGAGAGACATTTGAGATTTGTACTGATCACAAGAGTCTTAAATATCTCTTCACGTAGAGGGAACTAAACATACGCCAACTTAGATTGATGGATCTTCTTAAGGACTACGATTGTAAGATATTCTACCATCGAAGAAAGAAAATGTGGTAGTTGATATATTGAGTTATAGTACTTTCAGTATGATTACAAAGCTAATAGCTTCTGAATACAAGACTCTAGAAATCTTACAAGAATTACAATGTGGGTATTCACAAACGAGGGAATGTATATAGCCAGCTTGAGAATCGAACCAGTATTAATTCAAAAAATTAAAGATGCTCAAGAAACTGACACTACTATAAGGACCTTGAAGAAAAAACTGAACAAAGTTTAAGGTCTTAATTTAAAGTTCATGATGATGGTTTGCTTCGATTCAGAGCAAGATTGTGCATTTCTGATGACCCTAATTTGAAGAGACTCATATTAGAGGAAGCACATAATTCTAAGTTTACCATACACCCAAGCATCACCAAATTATATTAGAGTTTACGACCTCAGTATTGGTGGATTGGGATGAAGAAAGATATCTCTGAATTTGTTAGTAAATGTCTCACAAGTTAGAAGATTAAAGCCGAACCCCAAAAACTAAGGGAATTACCTGACCTCTACCAATTCTAGAGTGGAAGTGGGAACACATCACTATGGACTTTGTGATGGGTTTGCCTAGGACTAGATTGAACCATAATACTATTTGGGTGATAGTAGACCGATTAACGAAATCAGCTCATTTCCTACCAATAAAAACTATAGATCCTCTAGATAAACTTGTTAGATTATATATTAAGAAAGTTATTAGACTTTATAAAATTCTGATATCAGTAGCTTCAGATCAAGATGTTCGTTTCACTTCTAAGTTTTAGACAAGCCTTCAACACAACATTTCACCCACAAATGGATGGCCAAATGGAGAGAACCATCCAGACATTAGAAGATATGCTTAGGGCTTATGCACTAGAGATGGGAGGAAATTGAGACGACCATCTACCATTGATTGAATTTGCCTATAACAATAGCTATCAGTCCAGTATTAGTGCAGCTCCATATGAAACACTTTATGGTAGACTCTGTAGATCTCCTGTGTGTTGGGAAGAAATTGGGGACAGAAGATTAATTGGACCTGAATTAATTAAAGAAACTACCTCCAAGATTGTTCTAATTAAGAAAAACCTTCAAACTACCCAAAGTAGACAGAAGAGTTATGCAGATAACCATAGAAGGAGTTTGAAATTTGAAACAGGGGATCATGTAATTCTTGAAAGTGTCACCAACGAAGGGCCTTATGAGATTTTGGAAGAAAAGCAAATTAAGTTCTCACTTCATTGGACCATTCGAAATACTAGAGAGAATTGGATCTATTGCTTACCGATTGGCGTTGCCATCAGAGTTGGCTAACCTTCATGATGTATTTCATGTGTCTATATTATGTAAATACCAACCTGATCCATCACATATAATTCAGGTATGAGGAGATTCCTATTGAATGAGATATATCCTCTTAGAAAATGTCCATAGAAATATTGGACAAACAGGAATGGGTATTGAGGAATAAGACTATTCTGATTGTCAAGCTACTCTAACGACATCATTTGCCAGCAGAATCTACTTGGGAGACTGAAGATTCGATATGAACTCGATTTTCTCAATTGCTTTAGAGACATCAAATTTGGAAGACCAAATTTTTATAAAGATGAGAGAATTGTAATATCTATCTGAAGAAAAAAAAAGAGAGATAAGAAATGTAAATAAAAAATAAAATTGGAGTTAAGATGAAAATGAAAGGATTTTTTAATTTTAGGGGGTTTTTAGTTAATTTCAGGGAGCTAAATAAAAATAGGTAAGAAAAAAAAGGGTAAAAACATAAATATAGAGAAGTGGAAGGGGGTAAAGGAAATAAGAAGAATGGACGACCCATATTGAATCAATAAGATCGGATGGTTGGGAAAATGGGTATAAAAAAGAAGAGATTAAGGTTTTCTATTCATTTTGAAGAGTAGCCGAAAAAGTGAGAGGGAGAAGAGAGAGGAGCGATCGGGAAGGGAAGAAAGAAAGAGAGGGAAGGAAGAGGAAACTTGCAAAAAAGAAGGGAAATGAGAGAAAACGGAGGAAGGAGAAGAAAAGAGAGAAGGGGCCGATCGGGAAAGAGAAAGGGAGCCAAAGAGCGGCCGTCGCGAGGGAGGAAGGGAAGAAGAAAGAGGCGGAGGTGGAAGAACAGTGTAAACCGAGCCGAAAGGAAGAAGGAGAAAGAGGAAATGACCCGAGACACCGTGTGACGGTGGAGACTAAGGCTGTTTAGTTTTTTCGATCACCGCACCCGAGCTTGGTGCGTTTCTTTTTCTTCTTTCGGTTTGTGTTTTTAACCAAACGGGCATGTGTGTGTGTGTGTGCAAGTTTGGGAGCTGGCGACTCGCGGGGTGACCGAGGGGAGGCGACTGGGAGCCAAGCTGAGGTTGAATCACCCCATGCTGGAAAGGTAAAACTTTTTTGTGTTTTTTGGTGGTTGTTGAGCGGCAGTGGAGTAGGGACGGTGTCGGGCTGGCTGCGCAGGCTCGGCCAGGCCACCCACTCGTGTGGGAACTGAGAAGGCTTCCTTAGGTATGGGAAAGTCGACCCATTCGAGAAGCCGAAGGGTCTTCCCCGAGTATGAGAACCCGATCTGGCATTTTGGGTTTCGATTCGCTGTTCGGAAAGCTGAAAAGTATTCGTTAGAAAACAAAAATCTGATTTGCTGTTTGAAAAGCTAAAAAGTCTTCCTCGGAAAATGAAAATCCGATTTGCCATCTGGAAAGCTGAAAAGTCTTTCCCAAAAAACGTGAATCCGATTCGCTAAAAGAGGAGACGAAAGGTTTTTTGGGTACGGATCCTGATAGATTCAGGTATTCTGTTGGGTGATTGTTGGAACCTGCAAATTGATTAAATTAATTTTTAGCATTTTAAAATATTTTAATTGATTATATCATGTGTACAAAAAAATTTAAACATTCAAGTGTATACGAGAAGACGCATAAGAGGGTAAATATTTTTAAATCTCAATCGAATATCAGGATGTGACAAAAACTTAAGAGAAAATTCTTATAAGATTGTAAGCACTTATCAAATGACACAAATAATGAAATTGAATAGTGTGGTTATTTGATACATTCTCAAGATTTATTTTTGTTGTAGATCTTACTTTTTTGATGCTTGAATTTGTCTAAGCGATTATTCATATTTAAATACGACTGAAGAGATTCCGAATCATATAATGTTTTTTTGGGTAGGCTTAATATGAAGGTTTTCTTCTGGTGTTGTAGATGATAAAGCTAGTGTAATTGGTAATTTTGGAAAGTCGAGATCTATTGCCAGTTACACTAGTCTTCTGGCAGCTGATAATATACATGTCCGTTGACAAAATGGGAAGAACTATCAGTGCCCGTGTTCATCGTGGAAAACGAACAATTTTGAAACAAATTTCAAAATATAAAGTCAAAACCCGCTTGGCTGCATTAATGATAGTTGAATAAAAGGGTTTTAAAATAATTTTTATTAATGTGCAAATTTTAATTCTAAAATTTCCAAATGACATGATTATAATTACTATAATTACTTAAATCATACCCCCCCCCATTTATATCTACATATAAAATGTATATGAAATTTATTCTCTATGGTTATCTTGTCCTCAAAACTAAACTTAATATTTGATTAAAAATGGGAAAAAATAATCCGAACATTTACATAAAAGAAGAATAGAAAATTTTACGAGTACTTGTAATTAACAAAGAAAACTGAGTTTCCAATATCATAACGTTACAGTTTGAAATTCTTCGTCTTCCCCTGCCTCTTCCTTCTTCCCTCGACCAACCTTCTCAGATTTCGCCTCCTGTCTTACAGCTCCTCCAACTACATTCTTCCCCTTGTACCGGCAAGCCGCCCAGACGTAAAGAAAGAAATTGAAAACATTAATGCCGGTCAGAATCCAGTATAAGTAATCAAGCCGACTCTTGTTCAGATCCCGCCTAAGCCAACCTCTATCTTCTCCACCAGTGGCACGTCCAATGATTTTAACAATGGCGGTACTCAACCAGCTTCCCATTCCAATCTCAGTCAACATCATTGCACTGCTAATACTCCTCGTCCCTTCCGTCGCCTCGTCGTAAAAGAATTCTAATTGTCCAACGTAGGTGAAAACCTCTGCAGAACCGATGAGAAAAAATTGAGGAAACAACCAAAACACACTCATGGCCGAAGTGTTGGAACTTTCCCGGCGGTTTTTCTCGACGACAGCGGCGGAGATCATGGCGAATATTGAGATGAACAGACCGACACCCATGCGCTGCAAGGATGTTATGCCTCGTCGGTGGCCGGTGCGTTTGCGGAGGAGTGGGACGATCCATTTTTCGTAGATGGGAACGAGGAAAAGAGCGTTTACAGCGCTGAAGATGGGGATTGAGCCTGGGGGAATGATGAAGTTTGGACCGAGGGTTCGGTCCATGATGGCAGCCTGGCTGATGAAGAATGTTGAGAGTTGAGCGAATGAAATTGCTAATGCTATTGTAGTCGCCCAGATTGATAACATTCTAATGAACGTTTTCAGTTCTTCTACTTGGGTTACTGTGCATAGTTTCCATCGGTTCTTGGTGTTTTCCTCTGGGTCTGTTATTATCGCAGCCTTGTCCAAAAACCTACAGTTTTCTCCATTAATTGGTTGATATGTACATATATATACATGCATGTGCATATACGTTATATATTGTTTTACCTGTACTGATCCGTATGAGCTAGTTTCCGAGCGCCAACTATATCAGAAACAAGAGTTTGGACCTCAAAAAGTTCATCTTCCTTGCCGACTTGAACTCCTCTGTAATGGTTCCTGACAGATGCAACGAAGACCTGAAAGAATCTGGTAAAGGGACTTCCCATGGGCTTTTGATAACGATAATAAGTCGTTCCCATGGCGAGTATAATAACTGAGCAAATCATAGACGCAGTGGGTACACCGAAACCCCATACCCAGCCTTTCTTATCTTGTATGTACACCATTACAGTGATACCCAAGATTACACCCATGTTTATTGCGAAGAAGAACCAGTTAAAAAAAGCATATTTATTTTGCATTTCTTTCTCGTCAGCCTCGTCGAATTGGTCTGCGCCAAGCGATGAAACGCACGGTTTTATGCCGCCGGTTCCGATGGCTACAAGACCTAATGCAAGAAACAGGAAGCCACGTTGACCGGAAGTTATTTCTGTGCATGATTTTGCAGTGCATGGAGGTGGACGTAGAGCATCTATGGCGGCCGATAGTGTTAACAAAACCATTCCCTGTTTAATGATTTAGTTTTCATTAGAGATTGCTAGTTAACTTCTGTCAAAGAATTGAGTAATAAAAATATAATTTAATTTACCAAGGAGTAGATGGTGGAGAAAACTAGAATGGTCTTAAAGCGACCCAGATAAGCATCCGCTATGAATGCTCCAAGCAGAGTGAAAACATATGCAGAACCCATCCAAGCTGTCACATGTACAGCAGCCGTTGGGATCGATTCTCGCATCTCCATAACCAAGTAGATCACCAAGTTCACTGAAATCGCATAAAATGCTAATCTCTCCGCCACCTCGTTCACTACACCAATCACCAAAATCCATCATTGATCTACACATGTATGTGTGTGTGTGTGTATATATTCAACGTCGGAAATCAACAGAATAAAGAACCCACAGACCTATAATAAATGGCGCTGAATTCCATCCTCCGGTTTTTTGTTTATCAGCAATCCCTCCCTCTGAAGTCTACAGATCCGTTGGTTACCAGGGTTCATCATTAATGGGCTTTGATGGAATTCTTCCTGCAACAAGTTATCGCTTTAACAAATTTTAACAAACAAAAGCTAGATTAGAAAAAAGCAGTAATACATACATATATATATATATATATTTGTATATAGAGCAAATTACCTTTCTATCTTCCATGTTTAACGTGTTCAAGGAGTGCTGCATCAAAGATTATTCACAGTTACTTTTTGCGAGTTTCCACTTGGAGCTACCCCCTAGGTGCTGAATTTGACAACTCTACAATTGGAAGATAAAGGGTTTCTCGCACAAATTCTTTGAATGCACTGATAATATATGACTATATATATATACATATATATATATATATGACACTTTAAGTATCAGTATAACAAAATAGAATTATATTTTTATAATGATGTGAAAATAGCTTGAGACGCAAAATTTCATTTAGTTTACGCTAGTAAAGAATATATTTGACAAGATATGTATTGTATTTTGTATTACAGCTATGAATAAGTCTTTATTAATGTTATTTTAACTCTCTTTGAAATCTTTTTGACTTTTAACCATCATTCAGTCCTACAAATTTTTGAATGATGTGCAAGAAGGAAAAAAAAAAAAGGTGAGACATTTCATGGTCAACTTCAGTAAGTATAATTAAACATTTAATGTTAAAAATGTTAATAGACCTAAAGTTTCCAAAACTGTAACCAAAGAGGTGGCAATTTGTTGATACCGTATAATTAATTTTCCCTTAATATGTTCATAATAAATGAATTAAATGTCATTTCCAGTTTTTTCTTAAATAGTAGATAGTAACTGTTTGTGAATATTTATATGGTGATATTGCATTATGCATCAAAAAAATAATCAATAATTGATGCCCTTTATGTATCTACACCTTACAACCACTGACATAATAAAACATAGTTTATATAAAAAGTAACTAATTTTAAGTTATTTAATTAAATTTTAATATCTAAATGATTCATAGTCCACCAACATATATTAAGGTAATTACTTATTTCACTGTTTGATTTGGTAACCAACTGCGTTTTTAAGAATTTAGATTATTTAAAAAGAAAGAATTGATAGTTTCTTTTTTATTAATTCACATGTTTTTCTTCATAAATGCTTCTAGCTTTTATATTTGGGAAGAGTATATACAAGTAGGGAAAATGATTAATTTCCGATATAGGAGTTTTTGGAGGAGAATGAAGGTAGTTATAGAAAAGGAAAATAAGAACAAAGTAGATGATGAAGAAGAAGAAGAAGAAGAATTGTGGCTACATAGTCTCAATTCTAATTCTTTATATCCTTATTTTCTTCTATTCAATATTTAAATCATGATCTATTTTCTTTTGGGTTTTGCAATTGAAGCATGCCTTCTATAATTTTATGTTCTGTTTTGAGTTTTAGTTCAAGCATTATGGTTAGCTAACTTTTTTTATCGAGGGGATTGACATACCTTGAAATTATATGCTGATCTAATTTTATTAGTCTTGATTATTTAGTTTTATGATATATATTTTTTTTTTGATTTTATGGACTTAAATGAATATTTGATCTTTACGATAAAATATATTTGGTATCTATAATATTAAATTTAGGAGAAACAATCTTTTAAATATTCTATTTTAATTTTCTAAATAAAAAAAAAGATGTGTAGCTTTAGAAATTGGTAACTTTAGATTTTAAAATAATAATTATAGTAGAAATAATATTCTATTCATTCACTTTATTGCTTGTGCAATTATACACTTATTAGTATAATTTTTATTGCATTAAAAAATAACCACTAGTTATGACATATCTAAAAATTTTTACTTTTACCTTATTGTTGACATTTAAAAACTTAAAATACTCTTAAACATAAAACAAAATAAAACTCTACACCTGATAAAACTTTTTGTTCTCTTAATTTTCTTCTCATTCTCAATTGAAGCAAAAACGGTACATTCTCATGCACGATCCAAAATGTTAGCCATGATTACCTCGAGGTGTAATAACTTCGACTTCATGAGTAGATATAACAACACTATTTTCCATTATTCATAGTGGGATGGTGGTTACTTGGAGGCATGGTAACATTGACTTCAAGATCATATATAATAAAATCATCTTCATGATCATATTTGGAGCCCTTATTTTCTTTGTTGTTTTTCTGTCATTAAAGTTGAACAACATCTCTCCGGCACAAATAAGGCTTCAAATATGACCTTCATTCATCTTCATCTTTTTCTTTTTTTTTTATTTATTTTCCTTTTCCTCTCTTAATAAGTAGGAATATCATTATCAATAACTAGAATGCAATCGAGACTTCTTTAATATCCGGGAGTAGCCTTTCCCTTTCTTCGCCTCTCCTTCGGTCTCATTTTGGATTGAGTTAGCTAGGGCTGCCACCCTTTGATCGTGCATCTTCCTTACTGCCTTAGTGGGGCATTCTCTCATAGGCTGCATAGAGCGCATTCAGTCTTTGAATCAAATGACTCTCTCTGGGGACGCGAATCTCTATCTAGCTTGGGAGCACCTTTTCTGTAAGCCATAAAAGGAGTCAGTCTTATTCAACAAGCCCTTCATCCCAAGTTCTTAGGTAAGGATCTCATTCTTGCTATGGAGGAGCAACCCACATGTAGTGGCTAGTAAAACTTACCACATAGGTTTTAGGTGTACGAGGTCATGAACATGAGAAACTCACTATTTACTACAATGTACCTCATTTCCATCATGTAAAAAATCTTTTGTCATAGATATATAAATTCTTTATAGTTACTAACGACTACAAGATTTTGATTTGAATTTGTCAATATTGAATGTATTTATTTTACATGTTAAATGAAATTTTTTTAAAATTATTTACAATTATATTTTTTACTCTATGTAGAATTTATTTTGTTATAACCCTTAAAATCTGTTTGATCATATAAATTTAAATTATTGATTATTCATTGAGTATAGTTGACTCACTATATCTTTGTTTATATATATATATATATATATATATATATATATATAGATTTTGAAGAATAAATTACACACAAACTTGGGATGTGTAAGTAATTGATGAATATGATTTATAGAACTAAAATATATTACTTAAATTTTGTATTTGTATTGAAAAATTATTTTATTTAAAAATTTTAAATTTAGAAATAAATTTTAATTTAAAAGATTTATTAAGTAATAAATTTTTGAAACCTAAGATTTATTTTAGACATTACATAAACATGCGAGATTGTAGTATGCAGAATTCTAAATTCCTTTTTCCCCAACCAATTCACAAGGTTTATTACAAAATGTCTTAGTCAACACACATGTTGGTTGACAAGAAGGAAAAAGATAAGCGGAACCCGCATTGATTGGGGAAAAGGAGCAAAATTTCGTAGTCAAAAACCGCGGCCGACTGCGGAAAGAGGAATTTAAAACCAATTGGCTGTGCATTAATGACAGTTGATAATGTTCAAATTTTAATCCATATACAAAATAAAATTTCCAAATATCTTGATTTTAATTATTAATCTTTTGTTATATTTTAAAACTAAATCTACCCATGTATGAATTAATTACTTAAATCATAATCATACCCTTCCCATTTTCTGTCCTGTCCTCCTCATGAACATAAAACATACTCTATGATTATGGTGTCCTCAAAAAACTTTATTTGATTAATATTTGGAGGGTGATAAAAACTAATCCTAATTTAGTTTGAAAAATTTACGACTACTTGTAAGTAACAAAGAAAACTGATTAGTTTTCGATCTCATAATTTCATATTTTGAAATTCTTCATCTTCCCCTGCCTCTTCCTTCTTCCCTCGGCCAACCTTCTCAGATGCCGGCTCCTGTCTTACACCTCCTTCAACTATGTTCTTCCCCTTATGTCGGCAAGCCACCCAGACGTAGAGACAGAAATTGAAAACATTAATGGCGGTTAGAATCCAGTATAAGTAATCAAGCTTACTTTTGTTCAGATCCCGCCTAAGCCACCCTCTATCTTCTCCACCAGTAGCACGTCCAATGATTTTAACAATGGCGGTACTCAACCAGCTTCCTATTCCAATCTCAGTCAACATTATTGCACTGCTAATACTCCTCGTCCCTTCCGTCGCCTCGTCATAAAAGAATTCCAGTTGTCCAACGTAGGTGAAAACTTCTGCTGAACCGATGAGGAAATTCTGAGGGAACAACCAAAACACACTCATGGCCGACGCATTGGGACTTTCTCGGCGTTTTTTCTCCACGACAGCGGCGGAGATCATTGCGAATATCGAGATGAACAGGCCGACACCCATGCGCTGCAAGGATGTTATGCCGCGTCGATGGCCAGTGCGTTTTCGGAGGAGTGGGACGATCCACTTCTCGTAGATGGGAATGAGGAACAGAGCGTTGACGGCACTGAAGATGGGGGTGGAGCCTGGGGGAATGACGAAGTTTGAGCCGAGGGTTCGGTCCATGATTGTGGCCTGGCTGATGAAGAATGTTGAGAGTTGAGCGAATGAGATTGATAATGCTATTGTGGTTGCCCAGATTGGTAACATTCTAATGAAGGACTTCAGTTCTTCTACTTGGGTTACTGTGCATAGTTTCCATCGGCTTTTGGTGTTTTCCTCTGGGTCTGTTATTACCGCTGCCTTGTCCAAAAACCTACAGTATTTCTCAATTAATTCGTTGAGATATATATATTTACATGCCTGTGCATACATATTATATATTGTTTTACCTGTACTGATCGGTATGAGCTAGTTTTCGAGCACCAACTATATCTGACCCAAGAGTTTTAACCTCAAAAAGTTCATCTTCCTTCCCGACTTGAACTCCTCTGTAATGGTTCCTGACAGACGCCACGAAGACCTGAAAGAACCTGGTAAAGGGACTGCCCATGGGCTTCTGGTAACGATAATGGGTCGTTCCCATGGCGAGTATAATAATTGAGCAAATCATAGACGCAGTGGGTACACCGAAACCCCATACCCAACCTTTCTTATCTTGTATATACACCATTACAGTGATACCCAAGATGATACCCATGTTTATTGCAAAGAAGAACCAGTTAAAGAAAGCATATTTCTTCTGCATTTCTTTCTCGTCAGCCTCGTCGAATTGGTCTGCGCCAAACGACGACACGCACGGCTTTATGCCGCCGGTTCCGATGGCTACGAGACCTAATGAAAGAAACAGGAAGCCGCGTTGACCGGAGGTTATTTCTGTGCATGGTTTTGCAGTGCATGGAGGTGGACGTAGAGCATCTATGGCGGCCGATAGTGTTAACAGAACCATTCCCTGTTTAATGATTCAATTTTTATTAGAGATTGCTAATTAACTGCTGTCAAAGACTTAAAAATTGACTAAGAAAATGGTAATTTAATTTACCACGGAGTAGATGGTAGAGAAAACTAGAATAGTCTTAAAGCGACCCAGATAAGCATCCGCCATGAATGCTCCAAGCAGAGTGAAAACATAAGCCGAACCCATCCAAGCTGTCACATGTACAGCAGCCGTTGGGATCGATTCTCGCATCTCCATAACCAAGTAGATCACCAGGTTCACCCCAATTGCATAAAAAGCTAATCTCTCTGCCACCTCGTTCACTACACCAATCCACCAAATCCATCATCTATGTCCACACATATATGTCTGTGTGTATATATATACATTCAACGTAGGAACTCAGCAGAAGAAAGAACCCACAAACCTATAATAAACGGCGCTGAATTCCATCCCCCGGTTTTTTGTTTATCAGCAATCCTCCCTCTGAAGTCTACAGATCCATTGGTTACCAGGTTCATCGTTAATGGGCTTTGTTGGAATTCTTCCTGCAACAAATCACCGCTTTAACAAATTTTAAGGAAACAAAAACTAGATTAGAAAAAGCAGTAATATATACATATACATATAGTTATATATAGGACAATACCTTTCTATCTTCCATGTTTAACGTGTCCGTGGACTGCTGCATTGAAGATTATTCACAGCTTAACTGAAATCCTATTAGCAGAGGTTAATATTATATATTGTTGTTTATAACAGATACGTTGAAAAAGGTTCACTTACTTCTGCGAGTTTCACCTTGGAGCTATCCCTAGGAGCTGAATGCCGGCAACAGAGACCAGACCAGACCAGACCAGAGCAATTATTAACCAAAAAGCGAATGTACATATATGTATACATTCAACTTGCCATGCCGTCCCACAATCTCCTGTTAAGAAAGAAACAGGGACGAAAAGGAAACCGGAAAGAAGAAAAAGAGAGAGTAAAGATTTTTTTTTTTTTTTTTCCTGGTATGGAATTTACAAGATTCAAAAGTTATACAAAATTTCAACGAAATTCTGTTTCCTGTTTGGAGTAAATTAGATTGAACAACCTACCATGTTGAATTTTTAGTAATAAAAATTGACAGCACATTATACAGGAAACATGTTGTATAGGCTGATAAAAGTCAAATTCCGTACAGATATATATATTTTTTGGGTATTGTTATAAGGCTATGTAATTGTATTCAATATAAATAATTTATATGGTCGGTTTTCAAATGTAAATATATTTAGTTTGGTTGTCTGACAAACACTATTTACTAAATGTCACTTTAGTTGACTTTTTGCTTATTTCACCTCGAAAAATATTTTCTACAAAACACAACTTAAAAATAAATATAACACAACATTGAAGAGTGTTTAAAACCACCATGGCCAAAATTTGAACAAACCAAGTGACAAAATTATGTTTTGTCAAACTGGAATTTCAACATTGACAATCAAATAGATTAGACAATGCATATGAAGTGGTATAATGGTCTGTTTGATTTTCTGAAATGAGAAATTTTCCTCCTGTTAAATGTTGAAATTTCCTTGCGGCTCTAAGGAATCATGAATTTCCTTGCAGGAGACGGAGGCCTAAAGAATTAATTAGATTTTTAAATTTATTTTCTTTTCTTTTTTATGTATTCAAATTCTGTATTGTAGATACTAAATACTAAAGTTTGGCTTATGAATGAATACAACAATCACATACTTACACAACATTTAAATTTCTAAAAATAAAAAGATGTATTCCTAAGTATTTTATTTCTAAATTTCTGATAAAAAAAAAAAAAGATCACTAAGTGGCTATTTTTTTCAATTTTTAAATCTCCAAAGATTTAAAAATCAAAATTTCTTGCTTTGCTTGGCATCGCTGTGGTAACACTTATATTGGTACCTGATTGCATGACAAGGGAAAATGCAAAATTAAAAACGTTTGTCATAAAGAATTTACAAAAGGCAGGGAACTGAATAAATTCGAGAATAGAAATTATATCAGCAAACAAAAACAGAAGATATAGCAGAAGAATAATTGTCCGTGTTTCTGTCAATCCTTTCTTCCATATTTACAAATTAACCACCGTATGTAAAACTTTTGAGCCAACAACTTATAATTTTATTTACCTTGATAGGAAGTTACCGGCAAAAACTTAGAATATAGTCGAAATTCCAATTCTGCGGTGGTTTGATATCTGAAAGAAAAACCTTGATCAACGTAGTGATATCTTGAAAAATCTCACTTGGATATCATAATGTTGATTCTTGGCCTGGGGCTTGAGCAAAGGCTTTGTCAAATCTACCTCTATTTGCTTTTTTTTTTTTTTGGTTGCTATAGTAGTGGGATAGAAATTACTTCAACCTAGCATCGGTACCATCTATCTATCTAAATGGTTTGGTTTTGATGGGCAACACTAACAAAAAGCACTCTTAATATGGTCATAGGAAAGAACCAATATGCCATTGTGAGTGTGATCTACAAAGGGAAAAGAAAACAAAGAAAATAACATGAAACTTTTCTTACTATCAGAGAACTTACCACCAAATCTGCGAATGCAGTTTCGAAAGTGCACTCTTCTTCTTGCTCCATAAGCAAATCAGTATCTGGGGTTAAATCCCACATGTTCTGTAAAATAATCAAATCCACCATAGATATAAAAATTGGTTGACCAAGAACATGAAACTTTGATAAGCCCCGAAGGACCAGGGTATCAAGAAAGAATCCCCACTACCTCACCTGAGAACGAGTCAAAATGCATGTGAACAGAAGATTCGGTCTTCAACTTCCAACTCCCGTGGAATCTGCATTTTTTATTTGTCGTCTTCTTTTAATTTTCATCCCTATCTGTTCCTTAAAAGTAGGAAGATTGTTGCTGTAATTTTGTATATTTAAAGACTGGAATTTGGGAATAAAAGGCAGATCAGAATTTTTTCTTTAAACAGTGGCTGATTCTCGCCCGAAGTAGACTCCTTAATTATTTTGCAGGTTGGCTTTGACTAGGACCTATCAAACTTTCACAATGATGTGAAGCAAATGTCCCGCTGACAGTAAATGTAAAAAAGTACAGCAATGATATACATGTTACCATGTAAGACAGACTGTTAACCTCAAAAACATCCACAGGCTCACCGTATCCATCCTAATTCAGAAACATAACAAGAGGAAGCCCCATAAATAAGTAAAACTCATTGAGCATAAGTTTGAAAAATGGATTAAATTTCTTTTGCATCTCATTACAGTTATAACTCTTGACAAACAACTCATATGAGAAGACAACCTGAAAAAACAGAAAAAACAGGAGGTGGGGGGGGGATACATTTTTCTTTTTTTGCATATGAGAATACATAAATATAGGTATAACATATCATTATAATACTTACAGTTCCTTGTTACCTAGTCCAAGAATTAAACAAAAACCAGAAGCTAAAATGATCAATAGAAGACAGAGAAGATATTTTAGCCCATCGGTCATTTCATTCTCACATGGTCAGCATAATCAGAGGGTCTTCTACTGCTAATCATGCAGGCTGCAGCCTTAAAGTTAATATATTGATATAGATCTAATCTAAGACTAAGAGCTTAGCTAAGTAACAGCAAAACACCAGCATTTCTAGTCTCAGAGTCTTAACGATCATCTTGGTATTACTGATATAATAAACAACGAGAAAAGAGACGGACTATACCACATATTAGAGATCCATGTTAAGAGCGATTATAGTCCTAGAAAGGATATTGCAGCCCAAGTGAAGAGACATGTTCAAAACAAAGAACTAGATAAAATACACACAACGAACAATAACATAATCTGCTCAGCATTCCGGGACATTGAGTTTAGGTGGCTATTTCAAGACTCAGAACCACGCATGTAATGAAAAGTTAAAACACAATATATTGTGCATTTATCAAGCTGATCTTGTGTAAACGAAGAATCAGGTTGCTTAGGTTTTAGGAGAATCAGTGATTGCCAACTAGAAACCAAGCCATGCATTAAGAAAAAATACCTTAAACACCGATTTCATAGCCTCTGAAAGCCGCGTCTTCGGCATCCCGAGCTGGTTAGAAGCGTAAGAACTACACAGAAAGGTTGAAAAGAAGATGATTCAAAGTATTAAAAAAAATGAAAACATATGAGACCAATAGGGGAATTTCAACTGCTGATCTACAAAATATTAAAAAAGAAAACCGCAATAACACAATCGGGGGTCACAAAAATTTGAAATCTCATACGGAAGGGAAGATCGAAGATAAACCTGGCCGAAATCGCAGAGAGGGAAGTCCTTGCCACATGAATGGAAATTTGAAAATCTTTGGTGCTTGGAGGCGCTCGGTGGTTAAGTGTCTGTTTGTATGATGGTAAAATGACATTATTTATCTGTATTTTTAAACATACTATATTTTTTAATGATTGAGTCATGATCTTTAATATTTTGATTTTTTTTGGTTTTTTTAAACTAACAATTATTATTATTTTTTTATATTCTTAAATTTTTTTCTTATTTATTAAATTATTTTTTATTTTATCATTCTTCTTCTTTATTTCTTTAAGGTTTATTTTTCTTCTTTTAAACTTGATACATCGAAAACTATCTTCATTTCCGGTTTCTCTTGTTCGATTAGGTAACACACATTGATTTCTCTCTTCATTTTTCCGACTTCTCTTATTCGACTAGAGACATCTACATAATTGTTTGTCAATTTAAATTTAAATCAAACAGAATCAAAATAGATATAGAAAAATTCTTTATTTTTCTTCAAGGACTTCCCTCACTAAAATGGTTCTCAGGTCTATCTGATACTCAACCCAACACTTATCCATTTCCCCAACTTGGTACTCTTGCATCATGAAAATTATATAACAGCAACTCCTTGCTTCCACTCCAACCTGCAACTTCCCAATTTTTAATTTTTTTTCCTCTCACATATTCCCTCTCTCTTTCTTAGTCTAGGCATTTTCCTGTATGCAAACATTTTCATCTTATCCGTTATTTTTATATATACATAAATTTATATATTTATATATGTGTTTATATATTCAATTATATATATATATTTTATATATAAACATGTATTTATATATTTAATTAAATTTATGTATTTATATTTTTAATTATATATATGTATATAATTTATTTAATTATATCTATATATTTATATATTTAATTATATATATATTTTTATATACAAATATGTATTTATATATTCAATTAAACTTATGTATTTATATTTTTAATTATATATACATATATATAATTTATTTAATTATATCGATTTTATTGTATCTATATATATTTATATATTTAATTATATATATACATAAATTTATATATTTATATATGTGTTTATATATTTAATTATATATTTTTTATATATAAACATATATTTATATATTCAATTAAATTTATGTACTTACATTTTTAATTATATATACATGTATATAATTTATTTAATTATATCAATTTTATTATATCTATATATATTTATATATTTTACTATATATATACATAAATTTATATATTTATATATGTATTTATATATTTAATTATATATAAATACATGTTTGTAATATTTTAATTATAAATATACATGTATGTAATCTTTTAATTATATATATATGTATATAATATATTTACTTGTATATATATATATTTAATTATATATATATATTACATGTATATATTTAACTATATATATTTATATATCTCTATATTTAAACCTACTTATTTTTTTAATATTTTCTCTTTTTATTTTTCATTTATTACTATATACAATAAAGTAGAGGTAAAATAGACAATTTGCTCAAATATGTAACAATATCATACTGTCAATCCAAACAAAAATAGCTGACACTACCAAACATTAATAGATTATCATTTGAATATTAATAAATCTTGTACATACTGAACCGTACTCAATATTAATAAATCATTATATAAATCATCCAATTAAGATCATAGTGGACACTGTAGTCACAAGGGTCGCAGAGGGCAGCCTCATCTATAGTGTAGAACATCGAGGTTGCATCTTTGTTACATACATCACACTGGATCTTCATCTACATTGGTTAGACATGCAGAAATGAGGAATGTACAGCGACGCGACATAAAACAAGGGAGGACAGATGCATTAATTGGGTATGTATACCTTTAGTAAGGAACGAACTCCTATTACTAAAAGCATTAATGACCTTAGATAATTTCTATTATAATATGGTTAAACTCCATCATTCCATAAAGGAATGATAATGAATTCAAAAGTGATGTGGTTGTTTATAAAATTTTGGTTAGAAGTAATTTATTCTTAACAAAAACTAAATCGGATATGATATACTTATTTACTATCCTTTCTAGTTTTATGAATTTTTCAGTGTAAACATATTTTGGAGTAGTAAAGAGAACGATAAAGTATTTGAAAGAATGATTGATTTTTGAATTTGGTACTTAAAAGAATGAGAGTGGGGTCTATGAAACTTTGTATATAATGGATTGATTGGATATATCTGTGATTGGAAAAAAGATGTTTATGGTTATATTTTTCTCTTTTATTTTTAGTATATTCTTATTTAATTCAAAAAATTTAGAAGTAATTGCTCAATCAACAATTTGAAGTATAATATGTTGCATTATTAGTTGTTGCAAATCAAGATGAGAGAGATTCTTTATGATTTAGATTAAATTCAGAATGAAACTACTATTATCTTTATTGATAATCAATCTACCATTTCAATTACTAAGAATCCTACGTGATATAGCAAGAGCAAGAACAAACACATAAAGTTCCATTTCCTTTGAGATATTGTGAAGAATAAAGAAATACATTTTAAGTTTAGAGATATCTTAATAAAATTCTTTGAAAATATAAGATATAAAGTTTTGAGAGAAAAAATTTGGAGTCATGATGAAAAATATCAATGAGAAATAGAAGAGTTATGAAATAGAAGAGTTATAAGTTTTTCTAATAAAATATTATTATGTTATTGTAACATGTAGGTAACTTAACTTTTAGGAAAAGTAAATAGATTATGCGAAGAAAAATATAAAATTTTGAAAGTAAAAATATAATAACCGTGCCTGAAATTTGGCCCGGGATCAATTTTAACATTATCAAAATATATAAAAAGTTATTTTTGAATTAATTTATTTTAATTTTTAGTTAAATTTATGAAAAAAAAGGTTACAGTTGAAATTAAAAATAATTTTTGAAAAATGGGTGAAAATTTGGGCTCGGGGGTTGTTTTTGAAAAAAAAATTGAAAACCGTAAGTCAGAGTGCAAATAGAGAAAATTGTGCCGCGTAAAACTACCCAATCAGTAACCCTGATGAACTGGAGCATGTCGCGTGGCAAGGCACGCTGACATCGGTGCCACGCGGGATGCCACACGAGCGATCCACGTGCCCTGCGATCGAACGAACCAGGATTGATCTTGCGCTCATGGATGACCCATATTTATTTTCCCTTTAAACGTGATTGGACGGTCAATATCAAATCGTGATGGACGATCCATATTCATTTCCTCCTTAAACATGATTGAACGGTCAAGATCAAATCATGATGGACGGTCCAAATTTATTTTCTCCTTATGCACGATTGGACGGACGAGATCGATTGTGATGGACGGTCCAAATCAAAATGGGATGGGTACAAATACCTTGCATCACACAGGAACCCAAACCCTAGTCGCCAGCCCCCATCAAAGAAGAAAAACTAGATGCTGGAGAAGGAGGCCGACTGCCGACTATCGACTGCCAAAAGAGGTAAAAAATTTTCTTACCTGTTCGAAATTTGATTCTGAGCAGTCTCGTGGCTAAATTGGAGCAAAAGAAACGACGGGTGAGCCAAAAATTGTGAGTGAAGCTCTACGGAGCTGCCGTAGCCAAAGCCCCAAAACCCCTCTGATGAGCCCATTCCCGAATCCCGTTTCACGTAATTTTTTGATCATTGTGTTCACCATCCTTTTCTGTGTAGGTTGGCAGAAGAAAGAACCTTAGCTGCGGAGGAGAACCAGCGGAGCCGCCACACTTGGAGGCTCCCCCCGCCGGTGAGTTTGATTTTCTGTGATTTTTCTGCCAACCGAGGCCCTTGGCATTTTCTCTGCAGGGATATGACCAAAACTGCCTAAAAACCAGCCAAAATTGGCTAGACTGAGGCGAACCGTTGTTATGGGCGACAGAGTCGGCGTTGGAGCACGATGGCAGCACTGTGCCAGAACTCCAAAATTGGTCGGAATGAGTTTTGGACATCGATTTTGGATTTATAAGGTATTTTTATATACGTGACAAGTGTTTTGGATTTCGCATGGGTAATTCAGGAAACCCAGTACCCGTTAAGAAGCGTAATAGATAGTGCGGTGTTCCGAAATACCAATCCGGACAAGGATCCCTCACCTTTTTCTCTTCTACAGCAAATTGAGGCTTAATAATTAATAATTGTGTGTTTTTTTTTTTGAAAAATAGAGAACCTTAAAAATAATTACAGGTCACTAATGGAGTCGGAACCGGTTAATTCACGGTCATTTCGATTTCCTGTTTATTTTCCTATATTGCTTATATTTATTTACTATTATACTGTGTATAACTCAATTAATGATTTTTAGGGTCTTTTTGGTTATTTGGTTATTTGTTTCCTCTACATTATGTGCTGGTATTTTGGTCATTGGTTATTTTGCTGTGTTAAACTATATTGTTGTTTAAGTGAACTAGGAGTATAAAATGAGATACGATTATTACGTGGTTGATTGTTATACTAATGAAAATCTGTATGGGAAAGACTTACAGGGTACTCGAGAAACGGTGGATGAGCTCGGTACATAAGAAATCCTACCGTGAATGTTATCTCAATCAGACGGGGCTAGGACGTTCCTTACTAGTAAGGTTTGAGAGATATGGTTTATCCTCATACCAGACGGGGTATCGAGGTGGTGGAATATTTGGCACTCATTATCGAATGGGGTATGGGAATGACCGATTAATTATTTAATTGGATATTAGGTTCACGAATAGAAGGACATCCCTATAGACCCCCAGGGGTACCGGTAAGCGGGTAAAAATATAAAATGATCGTTTTTTGTTACCTTCTATATGATAAATAATAGTGCATGAATATGAGTTTTCATAAGTTATTTTTGGAAAAGACTTGTTACACAAATATGGGATAAATAATTTTCTTTATAGTAAATGAATTTACAGTAAATTAAAAGCTTCATTGGTTATTTTTCTAATTTTTACAAATCTTAGTTTTTTGTATCTGTGATTAGTATGATATTCTTACTAGGTTAGTGTAACTCACCCTTTCATTAACTATTTCAGATCAAGAGGATCAAGATTCAGATCTCGATCAACAAGAGGT